AATATATACTTACATATTTCGATGTCTTCGACTTTAAAATGCTTCTCACATGTAAAAACTTTATCATTGTTGATCATTTGTCGGAAATTGGCGTCGACCACTCTTGTTTTAGTGAGTTCGTTTAGCCAATCTTCCCTCCACTTCTTGTACTCGGCATTTCTAGCCGCCGGCAGCTTCCATATTCCGATTCCCTTGGTTCTCCTGCATGTTCCGCAGCCAAATACAGAACAATTTTCACCAGGCATGACGAATCATAACTTATAGAACAATTTTAGAAGTATTTAAAAAGGTAATATATCAATAGATCGCAGAAAAGTCACCAAAACAAACGCTACTTCGACTGYAAACACTAGCTAGACGCCATTTTGGATTTTTGTGTGTGCAGGGTCATTGTCACGTGATCGCGATAAAATCAAACAATAATCTATCCCTTTGAAGTTTGCCGGGTGTCCCAACCATCTCCCTCTATTAACTATGATCATATGAAGAAGCTCATGTCAGTGAGAACTTGAGTGATATTTTTATATACTATAATAATAGTATAATATTTTGATATTTTGACATAGTGCATTTTGAGAGTGGAACATTATAGACACACCTTTTATCACTGGACAGAAAATCCTCCCCTGCTTCACAAAAACAGCCATAYCTTTGCAAATATCAGCAAAGGTGGAATGATACTATATGACTAGAAAGCTGAGATCCCAGGCTTTTCAAAAATATAATTAACAAGACCATCCGATGACCTTCGAAATTGACACATATGACGTCATATCACGTGATGGGCGTGGTCAATCCAACCACTGTTACTATTTTTGTCATCAGCTCATTGTGAGTTTTCAGAGGACACCTCCTCTGGACTGGTAGGACCAAGAGTGAGAAATTTAGAATCTACCCTAAGCTAACCCTAACCCCAAACCCTAATGGTTCATACATTCCCTTGTAAAATCAACTAAGATTTGGAGMGAGAATACTGAAATATGAAATTTTGGAAAATCAATGCAAATATCAGTGCAAATGGTAAATATGGTTAAAAGGTAATTAGAAGAGACCAAAATAGGGTGTTTGGTGAGGCCAGAGGCCACGCCCCTGAAAATATGTYGATCACAGCTCCCAAATAGCCAAAAACCAAATTCAATCAATTGTGTCAAGTGTGGTATCATAMGAAACCTCATCATATCAGCAACACATTGACTGATATAGAACACCTGTATTTTGAGAATGGAACATTATAGGCACACCTTTTCTTCAATTAACAGAAAATCCTCCCCTGCTTCACAAAAACAGCCATATCTTTGCAAATATCAGCAAAGGTGCAATGATATTATATGACTTGAAAGCTGAGATCTCAGGCTTTTCAAAAATATAACTCACATGACCATCTGATAACCTTCGAAATTGACACGTATGACGTCATATCACGTGATGGGCGTGGCCAATCAAAAGACTGTCACTATTTTTGGGAGTCAGCTCATATAGAGCTTTCAGAGGACACCTCTTCTGGTCTGATAGGAACAAAAGTCAGCAAATAACTTCTAACCTTAGGCTAACCCTAAGCCTGATCCAAACAGGCCATACATTTGCTTGTAAAACCAAGCAAGTTGTTGGAGATGAAAAAAATTAACAGGCCATTTTTGAAAATCAGTGCAAAAGTCAGTGTAAATGGTATATATGGGTAAATTGTCATTGGAAGAGATGAAGTGAGGGTCTTGGGTGAGGCCAGAGGCCACGCCCTTGCTAAATATGTCCCCTTAGCTCCAGAATTTCGAAAAAACCGACCCAATTAATTGTGACGAGTGTGGCATCATATGAAAGCTTATCATGTTAGCAATACATTGAGTGACATAGAACACCTGTATTTTGAGAATGGAACATTATAGACACACCTTTTCTTCAATTACTGCTTCACAAAAACAGCCATATCTTTGCAAATATCAGCAAAGGTGCAATGATACTATATGGCTAGAATGCTGAGATCCCAGGCTTTTCAAAAATATAATTTACAAGATCATCCGATGACCTTCGAAATTGAAAGATGAGCTCGATCTCATTCTCAGGCCCGGAAAAAATCAAAGTTGCCAAGTGCTTGGAAATATCCTTACAACAAGAATGCAATGGTACAATTTCCGTCCTTTGTTTTCGATCTTTTATGTCGAACCCGCAACCGCTACCTACAATACTCTTAAAAGAACAGCAAGCTTCCATGTTGATTACTGCTACCGCAACGATTACAATGATATTAGATCATATTACACAATATTACGTATGTCGCAAGCCAACTCATCGCCCTCGGCATGTGGGGTCCCTTTGGATTTTTAGTCATATCATCAAAGATACAAAATGTATTATTTCACCCAATAAGGTTTACAACGCAATGAAAAGCAAAACATTAGACTTTATTCAAAATCTACTGCTCTGAAAATAAATTTTGAGACATAAATGTTTCAAGCCTGATCGAGACTGTCCCTACCCTAGTAAGTCGAGTTTTGTTACAACATTTACATATAGTCAAATTTTGTTGACATTATTCTTGGATTGTGAGTGGAAATCCTACAATGATAGTAGTAAAACAAATAGCACCAGTACTTTTGAGGAAAGGAGAATGATTAAGCAGGCTAGTCCAAGCCTCGACAAAGAACATATATACGTGGAGATCATAGTTTGGACAAGAGACGCAGGCCGATATAGCGACTTGAGTTGTATACACGTGAGAGGTTGGACAGTCGTTACAATTGCACGCTATTTTATGGAATTTACGATTTGTTGAACAACTGGAACCCTTTGTTAAGGTAAACTTTAAAGTTACGAAGCTTTTCTATGCATTTCAAGATAGATTAGTGGCTATATACAAATAATTGTGTAGTCTTGTCAGTGTTTCGTTTGTATATGGCAGTTGACCTCCAAAGGTCAAATATGGACGCTTTTGTCGAGCTGTAGCACAACATCTATTTATTTCCCTAGAATAAATTTTACATCACTTAAAAGCCCGTTCCTTTACCATACAGCAGGCAAAGATTCATTGGATTCAGAGCTTTATCGCATGGTGAAATTTGACTTTGTTTAGGGGTAGTTGAAAGTACAGTAGAAACATGGGCTGTTTACATTCGACTCGCTCGACATTGAAAAGTCTCTCAAATTACATGACTGTCACGCTAGTAAATGTTTAACAGATGCAAAACAGGATTTACGAGGAATAAGCCGATTTTTAGAACATTTTGTAACGAAATCGCACATATAGAATCGACTGTGGTTTTGGCGTGAAATTAGCGAATTTCATGTTGTTCATAATAAACGCAATTTTCTTAAAATCTAAAATCTATTTTGCTTAAAAAACTATGCAGTGTACATAGGGATATAATAAAGTATATCTGGACAAAATTTGAGCTAAATCAAATTCGGACCCTTGGCCACCATTTGATCGATATTTGCTGACATGCACTCTTAAAATGTTTTCATTCAGCGAAAGCAATACACATTCCGTTGCTGGTTTTACCTACCTTTTTCTAATTTTTTTTGTGTCCAGTTGACCTTTTGACAGACATGCATCCTTTCTCCTCAAAGAACACATAGTTTATGATTCTTCTAAGGTCACTAAAAAGGCAATTTTGATGCAAAAAGAAAGAAAGAAAGTCGCCCGCCGTCGTCCGACATTTTTTTCACATTTGTCAAACCTGCCAACTTCGCCTTTCGTTAAAACGTGAACTGTAATTGGCTGGTTGAAAAAGCCATTTAAATGTTTGAGGTAAGGAGAAACCTAGTTTTGATCATAAAAATTATACTCGGATTCTAAAGTTTTTAAAGCCATATTAAAAAAAAAGAAGTTATTTTATAAAAGCAATAGATAACTTTTTCCGTGTTTACATAGCCTGATGAAAACACTAGGGTAGGTTGGGAGAATTCGAGACTGTTATGCATAACCATCGAGAATTCTCCCAACCTGCCCGAGTGTTTACATCAGGCTATGTAAACACGGAAAAAGTTATCTATTACTTAAACAGTGTATTACAAGACCATGAATGTACTTTAGCATGAAACATTGAAAGGGCTGGCTTCATTTTAGAATGATTCCCATTATCATGTTTCTCTAGCCACSGCCAATACTTGCAAACAACATCATACCAAAAGAAATCTATGTTTTTAGGGATGAAATAATTGACTTGCATGAAATGAGCATAGCCATATATTTCCCCATGAAACATATTAACTGACTTTTGAGCTAATGCATGTCTACAACCAGCAATTTCGAGTYCAGTTTCAACAAGATTTTTCTTTTTTTGCAGAGTATTTCCTGCGGCTCTCCAATTGGTTTCCCCACACTTGCAATCTTTGTCTCCCTTGACAATCTGAAGACAATCAATAATAATRTTATTATTAMCTCACTGTGCATACAACATTCACAAAATTGCCTGCAATATGCCCATAGATAAGCAATCTACATATTAATGTATTATTAGTTACAAGTAATTTAGGTTTGTATTTCACTTACATTTCCCTTGGAACCTTTGTAAACCTTATTTATATGTTGATCAACCTTGTCATTAGGGGCAACAAAGACATCATTGTAGTAGGTATCTCTCTTTCGTCTAAAATAATATGCAACATCGAATATGTTACTGATCAGAAAGTACTGCATCAAAGCTTATTAATAACTTTACTACAAAAAGACACATTAGGTACATATACTTGTACGTTTGAAATAGTACTTACAATATAAAAAGTACTGTACATGTAATTGGTTTATGCTTCACACTATTCATACATATTACATGAAATACAATATAACTACGGTCTTGCAGATTTAAATCGGTATAGTTTCATGTTGCCATCAACATGTACTGAGTGTTGCTGAGTGTTGTACTGAGTGTTGCAAGCAGGGCATTCCATCAAATTGAACATTTTCAGCTGGTTTAGTTCAATTCATATTGGCAGAATTTCCACTCTTAAAAAGCAGTGCTAAAAGTTGTTTTGTTTATCGTTGAAACCTTGGCATAAAATTAATGGCATATTAGAAATGACATTTGCAACAAGACATGAAATACAACTATTCAGCTCTAGAGGACATGGTTTTCTTTTTTCCCAATGCACCTACATGTTCTTAGTTAGATGTACAAGTCATATAAACATAAGCATCATGAATATAAGTAATCTTAAAATATCTTATTTAAGACCTTGATAGGCTGACACATTGACATACCCGTCCATTATGTTTGGAAAATTGTTCTAATGACTTCAGAAAAGAGGCTTCTGATAAGCCAGGAACTAAGCTCTTGAGTTCGTGCCATAATACAAACTTTTAATTTAAGTTTAATTTAATTTTTTTAATTTTAATTTAATTTAATTTATTTAATTTTTTAATTTATTAGCTTTTCCCCTAGTATGGGCAGGGACACCGCAACAGCGTGAGCCAATTACTGCGGACCCTGTACTCTCACACTCACTACCTCTACATTAAATACTTAAAAGTATTTTAGCACACAACACTCCTCACATGTTGATTTTTGCTGAGGGAGGAAAACCGGAGGACCCAGAGAAAAACCCTCGTGGCAAGGGAGAGAACAACACATCAAACAAACTCAAACTCACATATGGTCCGTGTCCGGGAATCGAACCCTGACCACAGCGGTGAGAGGCCAGTAGCTTAACCACTAGACCACCCCGTGCCAACAAATTTGGGTCGAAAATATAATTGACGTTTTTGATGCTTCCTGGCCAATATCCAAGTTGAAGAACTACATCTAGGGATGAGCTTGGATATTCCTTCTTGCAATTTTTGCATGCATACCTGGTATGCATTATGTCAAACCTCCCTATAGGAGACTAATTAATACACCTTTTGCTGTTCATTTGCGCTACGTCAGCTGTAAAAACAACAGGGCGAAAAGACATTCGTTAACATTATCTTAAGTTCCAATAACGCCAAGAAACATTCAATTACGTAATTTACATATCAGTGACATTCAATAGCATTAACAGATAAACAATTGCATCTTTGGACAATCAAAGATAATTCTTTCGAAATGAACATTCAATTGCGAGAAACGACAAACATGTGCGTAATAACTACAATCAATTATGGAAAAACAAATTTCAAGTTTATTTTATTCATTTGTATATATTCATTTGATATACAGCAACTATCCTTGGATTTCTTCCCGATTTATGCATCTTGGAATGTAGGTTTGCATAAATCTGTACCACTGTCCACATTTAGCAGCAGTTATTGTTCCAACATTTCTTTGGAGGGCGTCAAGTAGCAGTTGTGTTCGGTAATTTCCTAAGGCGATTC